CATCTCCTATTTCTTTCAGTCTCCCAAGAAGTCTCTTTCCACGTTCTCCAGCAAAATATATGCATTTCTGGTAACCCCCTGTGTGGTGTATCCTATTCACGTAAATTTCATATAACCTGCCAATCAGAACTATGAGAAACTTCTCTGAACACTGGATATACTCTCTAGTAATTTTCAGATACACTTTCTGAATGTTAAAGAAGTCCCTCATGGTATATATGAATCCAACACTAATACTTACCATTGGTTTATCATAAAATGGGAACCCTTGCATAGAACGCAAGGCATTTGTGGCACTGCCAATTTCCTTAAATATTACAAATGCTTGGCCCCTCATTTTCAGTGTCTTCAAAGCCACAATATCCAAAATTTCACCAAACTGTGAGAAGATGGCATACAAAGATTTCTTGAGCTCTGAAACAGTATTTTTAAAAAGTGAAGCAATATTAAGGAATGCATTAAAAACATTTTCATAACAGCAACATGAAAGGATAGATCTTATTAAGTCTGTACATTCATAGAGCACTGCAGCTTACAAGGTGAGTAAAACAAAATAATTAAATACGGTTCAATATAGAGTAGTTTGTGGCTTGTTCTTGAAATCACTTGTTCAATGCAGAGGACAGTGTGTGTTAGGTCAACATGACTTATAAGACGAAATTCTGACTGAAAATGCACTTTGTAATAAAAGCATCGCAGGAATTTTATAGGAAATGTCAAGAATAAAATGTTTCAGAAATACATGCAAAACAAACATTAAAGTTATTGTACAATTTCCTGTAACAAAATGACTTCACACTGCAATTTTAAACTTGTGATGAGCTGTAAATAAAATAAAAGAATCAACTCACTAGCAAGAGCAAAAACTAGTATAAAATATTAATGTGGAATGTTTTACCTTCTTTTTTTATTTTCTCATTGAGATTATTAACATATATTGTATGGTTTGGGCGTATATCCATCATAGTTACACCCACTGCACTTCCTGACAGACAGACAAATATAAATTAGTTTTACACAACAAAAATGTAATATATACAAACTGATTTTAGGCACTACTGTCACAAATTTAACATATTTTTAAAACACTTTCAAATAATTTTACATAACGGTTAGGTTACTGCAGTGGTAGTATGCTAGTTGTGTATTCAGGTGGTTGGCTGGTTTGCCAGCTACCTTAAGGTATTTTGCAGTTTTCCTTTCTTCCACAGTAAAAGCCAGTATAGCATGTTCAAATAGGCCACAAACACATCAGTTCAAATCCTTTCATACACATACATCATATACTATCATCTTCATCTCATTCAACACTATTTAACCTCTACAGTACAAACAGTGTCCCTAAATAACCTACAAATTACCCAACTCACTGACTTACTGTGTGGTGCAGGAAATTCTTTGAAAAGTCAATTGTATACTCAGCTTGTCAAAGAATATCCCACTTTATTAAGGGAACCTGTACGCATTATAAAACTTTTTTCCTTAAACATAAAACAGGTATGCTAACAACTTGGATGCCATGTTTTGTGCCTGCCTGCCTCTTAGTTCCAAATATTCTCCTCAGTACCTTGTCCTTGCACACTCTCATCTGAAGTATTATTTTAGGTTCTCACAGTTTTCAGTGAGAAGATGGATGAATTCTGGGATGTAGTGTCATGTAGTTTGGTAGAAGTTCACTGACATATCAGAGATACTCTTTTAGTTTTATACTGGAATTAAAGTATTCAATAATCTTCCCCACTATACAAAATCTGAATCATGATATAAAGAAGTTTAAGCTAAAAGAGTATCTCATATCTCACCCCTTCTATTCTATTGAAGAATTACCTCATCCAAAAATCCTCAGCTATTATAAATACATGTTAGCAATAGTGGTTATGCTTTCTTATGCAATTATTTTTACAGTAAAACTGACTTTAACATACTGTCATTGACTATGTAATTTATATTTATATTAGAAACAAGTATTGAATTTGTGCTATGACATTTTCTACATCATTGGCTTAGGCCTATGAAGGAATCTATGGAATGCAAATAAGTTCTATTCTATTCTACTGTTGGATTAAACTTCTTTATATCATGTTTCAGACTTTTTACAGAGGGTGAAAGATTACTGAATAGCTAAATTCCAATCCAGCAAGCTCCTTTTTGATATTTACAGAGTTAAGCGTTTGGCACATGGAGGTTATACTTGTATCTTGTACTTATATTGTGGATATCAAAGTTCATATGAAATTTTTCTTTGTTGTCCACTACAAATTATAATAACGAGAGAAAGAATTCAATGGTTAGTGGAAGAAAATTAAATTTATTAAACAATTCCCTTTCTTCTTGTCACAAGCAAACATCATGTTTGAAATATCAGTTGCGAAATATGTATCGTGTGTTCATGACCAAGTCAATCTATTATGATGATTTTGTGAGTAACTGAACGATACCTGTGATAGGTTAGAATCAGGTTATGAGTGAGTAAGTTGCTGATATGTGCTATTAAAATCTTTACTTTACACATAAATTACACACGTTAGCAGCAACCAAATTTACATTAGTTCCTTCATGCGCTACACAGTATACCTAACATTAATTATCTACAATGTTATATATGATGGGGACGATCACGCCGGTATGAGAGTATACACAAACACAAATTTCGAAGTCTCTTAAAAACTACTACCAGATACTGAATAATTTTGTACAAACTAATTATAAATATCTAAGATGTAGTTTTCAACGTCACCTCAGCTTCAGAAATTTATATCAAACACACACAATTATAATGTTTAAAAATCGAACACTAACAGCGCAAAACATAATATACTCACCGCCGTGTGAAACTTAAATCTTATATTGAGACATTACCACTAGAGCCACCTATATTCATATGCACAGAATATGGGTTCTGTTTGTAACGCAGTAAAGACAACGTATTTCGTGCCAGGCAGAGGTAATACAAATGTTCCAAAATTATCTCTATTCTTTGATATCAGCAGAAGAAGCTATGACACTCCATCCCGATTTAAAACGTTTGAATGCTCTTTTTAGTCCAATGGTATTGTTAATGTAATCACTAATAATATTATTTCCAATGCATATGTGTAAAATAAAATAATTGTCACATCTTTGCTGTTAGTCTTGTGACCAAGATAAAACTAGTCTAGAGGCTGGAATACCAGTGTGTGATTCTTCACCTCCTAATTAGTTTAGGGCCCACCTAGCATCAAAATGGAACTGCAACCCCCCAACCCTGTGGTAAATATGTTTGGAACATAAATCTGACCACTCACTTCAATATACTTCTGATGTCAAAAATGCATGGTTTTACCTATATGCATATTTTTTTATTGTTTCCATCAATTCATGTGCTTCACATATTTTGGATAGCATGGAAGAAAGCGAGCCTTCCTGGAAGCTAAGTATGGTAAATATATGAAATGTAAACTGTTTCAAAGTAAATGAATATCCTGATGGGCAAAAGTAGTGGCTATTTCAGTTTGCTCTGTCTGTTTCAGTAGGGTGATTTCAGTGATCATTTATGAACATTAGTAAGAAGTCCATGTGAGGCAATAGTTGTCATATGAGGACCAGTTGTACTAAGTAGGATTTCAGGTTCTTGCTGCCTCCACCATCAAGGTGATGAGAGCAAACAGGTTCTTGCTGCCTCCACCATCAAGGTAATGAGAGCAAACACCTCTAAAATATTTGTAAACTTCTACCAGATTACACAGCGCTACAACCAAGAAGACAGTCATCTTCAACAATAGTTTTGTTTTCAGTTGCACTCAACTTTCTTGTGTATTGTGCTGGAAAAAAGCCTGTAGAAAGGATGGCTAAGTAACATAAATAATAAAACATTTAATACAGGAATATCATAATCATATAAAAAGATAATAATTATTAATAAACTGTTATAATCTTGTAATATTATGATCAATACACAACCAAAAGTACATTACTATAACAAATTAATAATTAAATTAGGTCAATGTAAGAATAAACATCCCAAAAATGAATATACATGAAGAAGTCAGACAAAAAATTACACTTCCTATTTATGGAAATTGTAGGCACAGGAAGATGTCATAATTAATAGGCATGTGTCTCATGCCTTCATTTCATCTTCCCATTCAAACATATTTTTATTCTTCCACAAGAAACTGTTTTATTTCTGGTCATTATATTGTACCTTCATCTTCCCATTCAAACATATTTTTAATCTTCCACCAGAAACTGTTTTATTCCTGGTCATTATATTGTACATTCTTTTTTTCCTAAAGCTGAGATATTTATAACATCAGTTCTAAAAATCACCGAAACAAGCAGTTCCACATAGAAACAAGATGACATTACTTTAATGAACACTTGGACTAACAATTTTAGAAACGTCCCATTGAAATTTGTGTACCAAAAGATAAAAGATAACTACTTAGCTATTCATGTTAAAATAAATCCTCCATTTTTCAAATTTATGAGCAATGAATTTATAACTAATAAAATTCTGCCAATGTAGAGGACTGATCTTCAGATAAAATTATACTAATACAAATATGATTCCTCTTAAAAAAGCTTGAATACAGCACAACATATATTATGGCCATTCTGAGTATAAAAGGAACACCAATAATAATAAATTCTGGAAGTCCAGTTATTCACATACATTAATACAAAGCCATCAGTGAACATTGTATTATCTGATAAAAAAATTATGGATTAGTTACACTGACTGAAAACAATTAGTTTATCACAAAAGCAACTTTCAGTCAAGTCATTTGCTTTTCAGATATTAAACATCTCAATCCACTTTCACAGATACATTGGGTCTGTTGCAAACTGTGTTCATGGCTTGCTAGTAAATTTAGCAAAATATAATTTTGAAGTACAAATGTAATATTCTGCTAAGCAAATTGTTTAAAATACCTGTTGTGTTGAAGAGATGAAAAGTACTGCAGTAATTATATAAACAACACATTACAAATAAAAGAGACATGAAAAGAATTTTGGGATTAAGTTCATATAAGAAATGAATATCCTACATCTGGAACATAAACAGTTGAATTCACTACCTTTGCTCTATTAGTATGCAAGTGTGGAAAACTCAAGTAGTGATAAGGTTGGGCTGAGCATAATAAAAATGCATAAAATATGACTAAGAACTAGTTTTCATTAAGAAGAATAAACAGTTTTATTACTATGAACGGAAAAACCTGTAATTCAAGGCACATATGAACTTAAGCTGAAAGAACACTTTGAATCACAGTTCTAAATCCTGTGTGTGTTCTTCATCACCACTAGTAGCCCACTTATGTCTGTCGCATAAGTGAAATAAGAACATTTAATGTCCACACTAAACTGGTATCATCAATCAATCTGCAGATTTCTATCACAATGTCCATCAACACGTGTGCAACTGCTTGTATAAGGAGATTTCCAGATAATCCTTTAACATTGGTATATATATTAAATCATGTAAATCATTCATAATATACTTATCTAGAAACAAAAATATATTAACAGTCATGTGTCTCAATTTAAGTAATTAATACAAATATTCCTTGGCACAATGATTGTTTGTTGGTAATTTATAACAAACACAAAAGAAATCTGTATATTACGGTTCTACAATTTAATGTAATTTAATTTAGAGATACATTCTAGTAGTACTAATACGGCTCAACTGCTGTTTTATAATAATAAAAATTAACGAATCTGAAGTGAGTATGTATCAGTTTCACTTAAGATTACAATGTGAAACATTCCAACTCATTTACAGAATGTGACAACTTTAGGTGCCCCATGTTACATGGGGTCACAGACTGACACCCCTCCCCCCCACAAAGGACTCTTTAAAAATGTGAAGACAGTGTCTCTGATGGTGCTATAATACTTTTCAACGTCTCGCATTTGTGAAACATGTGACACTATGAGGGGGGAGAAAAACACCAGCGAGGAACACAAAGGATTAGAATAATATAGCACAGTAAATAATTAAATCTTAGTTCTTTAATTAGGTCTGCAACCTTCTGAATGTATGATGTGGATGCTTTGTGGAAGATCATTATCACAACAACAAAATTACATGAAATATGCTTTCAAACACATCATTTTATAACAGTTTATTACTAATTAGGCTGAGACATTGTGATCCAGTAACCTGTCTTTTATGGGTAGTGCTTTTTGTCTTTTGACTATGATTTTGTTTGTGTAAGCAAATAATCAATGAACTTTGTATTCATTCAAAATGATAATTGTGAACAACCTAATAAATCAAAATAACAATAAATGAATTTCTGGAAAATACCTAGCAACATCTGGATATTCCACTCACATGAATACTTACACAGTATGAAATAACACAGGCTAGGTAACTGAATAACCTACAAACGTAATTATAATTAAAATCATGAACAAATCAATAATCAATTAAACATTTCACCTCCTCGCACAATTTAAAAGATCTTAGTGCTCTTATTCCAATCCTTGCACCACATGTGTGGGCAGTTCAAATCTGACCCAGGATTTGTTGTTTTTCAATGTCTAAATTGGCTGAAAACCTGCCTTAAATTTTTTTCTTCTGCAGTGATAGGGCAGTTATATACATGTAGAGGGAAAGTACCTGGAGAAAATTATTTAATATGAAACGGGTATAATCATTCACTGACACACTATTATCAAAATTCTGGATCAAATTTGAACTGGCATAATGCCAAACATTGAAGGCAAACATTATACATACCTTTTCTCTGCAGTTTCATTTTTAATGTTCACCTAATACAACCGCCAAACTGCATTTTTTGATCAAGATACACTGTCATGTTTGAAACATAACCAGATTAAGTAAATGAATTATAGCCAAAAGTTCACAGGAATAGTGAACAAATTCAAGACAAGTCAGTCAGGCGAGTCTTGAGTTCTCGATAGGCATGCTTTCAAAATTATGCAGAAATGTTATCATCAATATCAGGGGTGGAGTGTGCACATTAATAATGTGAGCCCAGCAAACACTTCATAAAAAAATAATAAAAAAATAAAAAGCCTCATCTTACTTTCATGGTACAGTGGTACACCATACACCGCAAAAAAGCAGCACCAATCAGATAAAATGAATTATTAGCCACCTTCATATGGCCAGGCATTGTTAGCCAGCTAGTTGAGACACTTGCAGCAAATGTAAAAACACCTGACTTGCTGGGGCTCGCTAACAATGCTAACGATGCATTTTGTCTGATTGGTTTTGCTGTGTTTCAGTGTATGGAGTACCAATGAACCACAAAAATAAGACACAATTTTTGTTTATTTAAAGTGCTAGCTGGGCATGTGTGCCCTGCCCCTGATCAATACGTACATACCATATGCTTTCAGTAACCAACCTCAGCCTACAAAAATGTATATATAGAGAATGGACTAAAAGTGTAGTGTTTATATATTTTTTATCACAACTAAGTTTCCAATTCTCCTTCCTTCCTCTCTAATATTAACAATATAGTAATTTCCTTTCAGCTTTGAAAATTATTTTGGACAGATAAGCAAACCATTTTCTGGTATTTTCATCAAACACACTGCATACAGTCAACAGAGCAAATAAAAGAAATCATAATAGCAGCCCTCTTGTGCAATGTATATACATTCAATGTTACAAGATACATTGCTAGTGCATTATACACCAGCAGTCAGAACCCCTTACATTCAACTGACAATAAAATCTTAATATACGTAATATCCACAAAATTCAGCATGTCTACTGAATTATACCATAAGTTAAAAATGCATTGTGCCTTAGTACTGTAGTGATTGCAAATATGATGTATTATATATGGCAGTCAAGTGGACAGCAGCTATTTCTGTCCAGTCATGTGGGCAAACTATAATACAATTTGCAAAACACATTTAATTACAACTTCAGTTCTTATGGCCTATTCTAATTAGAACTGCTTCTAAATTATGAATCTATTCAGACTTTTGGTAGGACTCCTCAGACGAGTGGTCAACCCAGTGCCTTCACTGAACAGCACAACACAAAACAATGGGCACATCCAAGCCTAGAATGGGATTTCAACCCATGATCCCAGTGTTTGAGTGGTCAAGACCTGTGCCTTAGATCACTCAGGTACTATTAATAAATACAAAGTTACTAACAATATTTAACCTTAAATTGCTAAACCGGGCAAAATATTCTGCATGAAATGAAAATTCCGTAATTTGCAGGTTTATATAACTGGGAAATGTAATAAGAACACTGTACTGAAACACACAAACAAGCCATTCAAAGCTTTAAATATGCTATATACTCATAATATGTTCAACATTTCCACTTGAATCACACAAGTATTTTGTCATCTGCAGTGATCCTTTAACATTAATGAGAACTGAACCCTATCCTGAATCACTGTATGAAATCAAGAAAGTGTGATAACTTAGGTCTCTTGCAGAGTGAAAATATAAGGTCATTGAGCAATGACAAGTAAATCACGCAATTAAACGTCATCTGTTTATCTGATATAATATACCTTCAAATATGCACATATAAAAATTGAATGTTACCTTACACAAGACTGGTAATACTGTACGTACAATACTATATATTTTTCCTACACGTGGGATGTAAACTAACATTCCAGCAACCTTCAGTGTAGTATTAACTACTTAGCTAGACACATCACAGTTCTTCTCAAGAAGATAAACATTCAATATCATGATGCTCCTTAGAAAAACTGGCAGATTTATAATGAAATGAATCATGATAGAAGATTAATTTCAACATTAGTGGACATTTTGTATCAATGTACAAGTCATGATATCACAACCCAGAAGAGAGACTTCCAGCTTAATGTGAATATTTCATCACATGTAGCAGTGCTACACATTCCTCGCATTTACAAAGAGGTATGATTATGTAATACACAGCCCCAACATATAAATTTCGAAAAATTTCTTTTGAATTTTTATGGTGTACTCTAAAATGTGCAGTTGATATACAGATGAAAACATGCAATTCAATTATTTCCTTACATCACAGGGTCACTGGTTCAAATCTCATTCAGGCTGTGGATGTATGAATTTAATGATATACTTGGCAAAAATGAACTGCTATGAGAATTGAATAAACCATGAGTTTTGTGAACTTTACCTGAAGCAAAACAATGTTTTGAGTAGTTTGGCCCCAGGTGATATTAAATCGTCATTCCTTCACACGTACATTTGTTATTTCTCTCTGAAGATAAGTTTTAAAAGACAACAGACAGTTGTTAAACCAACTGAAAAAAACAAAGTATCCAGTTGATACTGGGAACTGCATTTCAACATGATATTAATTTTAATTTAAATGGCAGCAAGTAATATTGCACAGATTTGAGAGCTGTCATCCCTTGGGATTCCACCTCAATATTAACATTTCACTTCAAGTAATGTCTGTGTACTCAACATAGCTTTAAAGTTTAAACTTTCAGATTAGTGGCAACAAATTATCATATACAGACACAGAAAGAGGTATTGGTATAGGAACATGAACTACAGAAGCTTTTGTCATCTCAGTTATTGAGATGATGACAAGAAGAATAGAAAAATAGATCATTGCTACAACAATCATAACGATCTATAATATTAAACGATACAGATGACGGAGACATCATGTTTCCTTTCCATCTGTTACAGACACACAACCCTCAGGCAAAATCTATAATCACACTAAATAATGAGGCATGTTAACGAATTTGTTTCTCCATGCCATTTATCATATCCTAGTTAAATGGTATATATAAAATGTTAGGGGTGCTTATGAAGGTTTAAAACTAATAGATAACACACAACATGATACCAGAGGATTACAAAAAACCACGCAGGTAAATTCAAATTTTGGATTCTTCCATGCAAAGTGTTCATACCACATGAACCTAGAAAGTGTCAAACACAACCATAAAAAGTTTCTCTGGATTATAACAATAAATCTAGACAATAATCTCAATTCCATATCAACAGATTACTGATAGGCTCATATCACTGGTCTGCAAGATCAACACCATTTCAATTCGTTTCCCAGGATCAGTTATTATATACACAATACAGGTAGCTATAATCTGACACAAAAATATTTTGGGAAAGTACCTCATTCAGTAGAGATGTTGAATTCTTGCACATTGTAAGGCACCTTATTTTATGGACTCAGGACCACTTTGCATGGATTACAGAAGCATAAATGAGGGCAAACGCTTTATAGATATTCACAAACTCTATGAATAATGAAGAGCGTAACACTGAAAATTACAATTAATTCTACTCATAATGGCATGAAAAATTAATAATCCATGTCCTGTATTATCTACAAGTAAAAACATACAATGTACAGAAGATAAATGCTTTTATACACAAATAAAGATATTCAAAATATATCCAAAATGCTGGTGCTTTATATTTTTAAAAACTGGAAATATTTTATTACCTGATATTTCACTGAGATTCATGTCAGGTAAGTATGTTTAAGCTAACTAACTAGATGGCTTACCGAACCCAAAGGTTCATCACCAAATTAACCAAAGCCCTCCACTGGACTGTCTGGGCCAACAAAATCCAGTCTCCTTCAACTCCTATCTCCCATAGATCCCGCCTCACATTATCCTCCCATCTACGTCTAGGTCTCCCCAGCGGTCTCTTCCCCTCAGGCTTCCCAACCAATACCTGGTGCACACCTCTTGTCCCATCCACGCAAAGTATGTTAAGCAATTACATTAATCTCTAGCATGCTTCCACTAATCTATAAAAATATATATGTAATAATATTTTCTATAAAAGTTCAAACAACATAAATAAATCTGTGGGCACAATATTTTATATAATTATATGGTTCTGGTTTATAATGCGTCAAAGTTTGATTCTTGTATAAGTGTCAGTACCTAGGATGGCATTAGAAATATGGCTAAAGAATAAAAGCCCATTATTAAAATCTTCAGAAGTGACTTACACGAGTATAACTAACATCACTGCAATATTGGAGAAGTCATAATACTTTCTTGACTACAATTTCCATAAAGGTGATGGCTGTCTTCTGGGTTGTTGCGCCTTGTAGTCTGGTAGAAGTTTATTGACGTTTCAGAGGTCCTTGCTGTCTCCATTATCAGGGCCCCAATGATGGAGGCAAGAGAGACCTCTGAAACGTCAGTAATCTTCTACCAGACTATAAGGCGCAACAACCCAGAAGACAGCCATCTTCAGACTCACCACCATGAAAACCTCAAATCCTCCTTAATATCCATAAAATTCTAACTTTCCAAAGTAGTCCACATAAAGACTCTCTGATAACTGAATTTCAAAGACAAAGGTAAGCCGTCATGCTGAAAATTATCACAGTTTCAACATCTAAAATATTTTAAGAAAATGTATTAATATATTATGCAGTAAAGCCAAGAAATTTCATGAACACCACTTAGATTAATTATAAGGTAAAACAGGAGTGATGCTATTAAGACAACCAAAAATTAAAATTTAGAAGTGGTTTTAACATCATAATGTTGGACTAAAATGTGTATCTCTGTATGTTAATTACTTTATTATCACCCTTCACATGTCCATTAACTAACAAGTTCATTGCCATTTATCCTTTTTCTTTAAAGCTGAAATGAGAACACAATTCTTGGCCTGAGGGTTGATTGTTCACATAACAACAGGCACCAAATAAAAGACACAGAGAGAGGGGAGGGGAAGAAACGTCACAAAGCATTGAAGAACTTGAGCAGTATAAATTGACCTCCACTCCAAAAATTCTTGTCATATGACATAAACAATAAGTGTAGGAAACATGTTTGTTACACTACAAAGCAAAATCAAATAATGTCTGACTGTGTTAAATGAGATTAACTCTCAAAGTTAATAAATCAATCTGCTAATTCTGGAAATGCAGTGCATGAGAATTTATTTATGACAGCTTAAGCCACACAAATAATATAATTCTTCAGAAGAAAATTGTGTACTGATACAAAGTGTTTTGGTGAAACACCAACACCAGGAACGTAACATAGAGAAAGAGACAAATTTTTATTTGGGGGGATAATAATTTTTGTTCTCTCACTCTGTCCGGTCCAATCTATGAACTGTGGCTGGTTTTATGTAACATTCTGTAACAGTGACATACTTCATTCTTGTATATTTTTGTACAAAGACATAAAATTTCCAAGGTAAGTAACTTTACATCATAGTCAACATATGTTTAAGTGTATGTACGTATGATGGGGAAACAATGCAGATTTGTCTACAGACAGTAAGCTGTTTTTGGCAGATTGACTGATGGGTTGAGTGCAGACTCTTATCATCCCACTGCAACACAAATAATGTAGTCATTTCACACTAAATAACAGAATTACATTTCAGTGCAATCATCTACTGGGTAAGGGATGACAAGGGTGAGAATTTTTGGACATGATTTGTTTTGGAATAAAACCTAACATTTTGATGAATCTTACAGCTGCCGCCTCCTCCTCCTTCAGGGTAGAAACAGATTTGTCTGAGCTTTTTTTAATGACACTGTCGGTAGCACACCACCATATAGCATGAAATGATAAAATGATTAATGAATTACGAATTCCCCTCAGGGACCCACATCAGAGGGTACGGGGACTGGCACAGATTCAGGACTGAAGTAGTACAATGGTCATATTTGATCTTTTTGTTAAAAAATCTCCATGCAACAAGAACAATACAGAATTGTGATTAAGGAAAAAATGAGAAACCTGTTCTAGCAGTATACTCACCTCACATTGGACACGTCAGTACTGGTACCAAGGCTGTCTCCTTACCCAACGCAGGCGAATACCTGCATCTGTACGAATCTTAATAGATGCAGACTCTGCTGCTCGAACTGTCTCCTTGACAGACTGCATTAGGTTCTGCGCATTACCCACCAACATATCCGTTGCTTCTTGATCTTCCTCTGTGCCTACATCACATTGAAGAAATACATTCATTATATTCAAAATATAACAGAAAATGAGCAAAAGCATTTGTTCAGACATGTCTGCATCCACATATAAAGTCTCTCATCATACAGTGCAACTGGTTATCTGATTAAAAGATCTGTTGACTTCTCCCACATCAAACAGTGCAAAGATAATTACAGTAGTATATTTTTTGGCTACACTTTAAACTAATAACAAAGTCCTTGTCAACAAGTGTTAATTTCTTCCAACAGCAATGTAATGTACAGATATATATATTTTTACTTTGTATCTATCTAATTTGCTGCATTTCCATGGGGAATTTGGATTTTCAAGAAACATAATTTTCATAACCTGTGAGAAACCAAATGCTGAGATGAAGACAGTTCCAATATGAATGTAAAAGAGTGGGTCATTCTGTACTTTCAAGAGACGCTAAATCTTAATACAGGAGGGTTTTTAGTACGAAAGCAGGACATGAAAGTGTAAAGAAAATGAGCATTGCATCATCAATTTCACTCTTTTCAATTCCAGTAAATTATAAAGAAGTATGTATATCAGAATTTGGAGACGAGGAGGCCAATTATGACAAGTACACTAACAACTTAAGTGGTGAAATATATGGTGCAGACATACTCCAGGATTCAAAACCTTAAATCACACATTTTTATAGTTAGTATCTTCACAGATGTAAAAAAAAGTGCCTTCATTTTCTTGTAAATTAAGTTTTATCATTATTTATAACTGTTTTTCATCAGTATTGTCACAAAAACTCATTACAGGAGAGTCTGTACTTTTCTGTTTCTTAAATATCATTGACATGAAAAAGTGTAAGAAAGCATTTAAGTTTGCATCTTTGAGTCACAACACTTTCTAATAGGTTCAGACTTTAAAACACACATTTAAACACAAACATTTTTACTAACATACTAAATAGAAGAAAGAAAAGTTTTAATTTTTTCACTGTAAACATAAATTTCACGCTGAAGCACGTGAGAACATAGCCAACTGAATTTTAAATCAGACTGTCATACTTTCTGAAAACATGAAAGTATCATAAAATAAAATTCTGAAGTAAAACCAACAGTTGCATATACTATCACATCATCAGCAACATTAAAATCATTCATAAGTACTCACTGTTGCCAAACATGCTTCCTTTCCAATCACCAATGTTGCGATACAAAACAACACAAACACACATGTTCCTCAATTCAATTTGTAACATTTTAATCTATGAGCCATAAGATATTAAAATAGTAACACACAGGCACGTCTTTATTGAAGCAAAACTGGACTTTAGAATAACTGACTACACGAAAGCATCATACTAAAACAGACATGCACAGAGACAATATACTTACATTATAAATGCCAGAAGCAAAACACTCCACAACCTTTCAGGTCTTTACGTGCAAATGAAAATGCAACATTTTAATCTTCAAAGAAAATACTTTCTAACAAGAGCAGTTTCATTACTTTTATTTTTAAAAGACATATTCCTCTTCCTACAATGATAATTCACAATTTTTTACTTGAATTAAGAAAGTTATAACAAATTATGTGTTTAGTTTAAATGTATTTCTCACAAATGACATCCCTGAAAATTAACGGCTTTTACTCAGATCATACACGTAACTTTGCCATACAGAGTATGGTAAGTTGTTTGTTAAATGTATTCCTTCATCATAAGTATACTAACTAATTTCTCCCTCCATGCTTTCCAATCAAACTCTTATACAAATTTCTCATCTCCTTCATATGTGCTACATCCTCCTTCATATGATCATCCTAGTTATATTTGGTAAAGAGTGTAAATTGTGAAACTCATGAAATTATATCAAGCCTCCGATCAATTCATCCCTCTTAGGTCCAAATATTCTCCTAAACACCCCGTTCCCAAACACCCTCAACCTTTGTTCTTCCCTTAACATGAGAGTCCAAGTTTCACACCCATAAAAACAACAAAAGATTGTAACTTTGCACATTTTAATCTTTATGTTTTTAGACAGCACACAGGCAGACTAGACATTCTGAACTGCATAATAGCAAGCATTCCCTGAATTTAATCTGTTCTTAACTTTATTGTAAATGCAATTCTGATTTGTTAATGCTGTGTTCCCAAATATTTAAACTTTGTCACATCCTAGGAAACAAACATTTCTACAAATGGGATTTAATTTTAATACTCACGCAGCATTTATAAAGTAATCAGTAAGGACCTGGATATTGAAAATCACTTATTTACCTGACAAATTTGCTATTCTTCTTAAACTAAAGTGTAAGGTGCAGAAGACGCATATTCATGCTGCAGAATCATGCAAGAAGCAACCACACATACAAGCACTTAAAACTATATAGACTGCTGGCCATTACCCCCAAGAATTTCTCCCATGTCCATCCGGGGAATCACCTCTGTTAAAACAAACAGAACAATTTGCAAGAAGCGTTCACTACAGTCACATTATTTATAAGTACAATACAGCAGCATTATTTTAGCAGATTTTATATGTTGTTCACAGCTATTTCTGAAAAGCAATGTTGCTAGATTATGTGTGAAGCAATTTGGCAATTTCTGTACAAACAGAAAATTATAAATTAATGCCCATAAATTATACACGTTTTTTATATCATTTCATATTAAATTAAATTAAGTTCAGTTGAATTATCACAAAAATGCTAAATTTTGTATACAGACTGTGTATTTTATAACATGAGTGTATTTATTTATTAGAATGTTAAAAACATTCAATCTGTTGAAACACCTGTATTGAAAGAGCTCAAAATCTATAATTTAACATATGCAATGTATGACAGGTCACTTCACACTAATTTTACAACAGTAAACTCCTGAAGCTTACAGGGAGAAGCATAAGTTCAATGTTATATACAGACACAAGCCATTAAATGCCTCCTGTTGTAGAAATGCAGAATTGTACAAAAGCCACGAACAGGTAAGGTCACACCCAACGAATTCAATTAAATCCAATTCATTTATAGAGTCAACTCTTATGAATGAAGTGGTACACAACATTCTGATCCACTTAGCATGTAACATATGACCACAAGAGCTGACACAAACAGTATGTAGAAATTTCAAGTCATATTTACATATCCATTTTTCTGCATTTCAAATACAGGTTTGAAGATAAATTATGAGCAGCTACTGTGCTAGTTACATTATGTACACATAAATGACTACACTAGAAAAACAACAGGTTAATATAATATAATATGATTCACATCCATATTTACACTCCTGACTTGAACATGTTGAACCACATAAAATCAATATGCTTAAAGCAATTTCGAACCAAACCATACACAAAATACCATTACTGTTGATAATTCCTTCTAACCACATAGGGCACTGTCTTCAACTTGCCTTCTGAATGACATATTCAGATGTTCTGCAGGTCCTTTGTAAAATGTAGTAGTTGGAAGGAAAATGTGTGCAGTCTACCTATCATTAGAAGGGCTTTGATGATAGCTAGAGAACTAAATACATGTGCTCCAGTAAATTTCAGTCAAATGTGCGGGTGAGAACACTCTCATCCTAGTTTAACAGTTCTCAGATGTGAGTTTTGAGGTTGAGTTCAGGGTAGTTTGCTACTTAGAGCAAATCATGTTACTTGATCCAAAGTCACACTTTAATCTGGGATTTACTTCCGAGTCAGTCAAATTTAAATTTAAAAAATCCTAGCTTGGAACTGGAAGGAAGATGACACTCTGTACAGGGAAGGCCAACAAAATTAAAATATTTGAATATTACAGTTTTTTGAAAAAAGCACAGAATTCAACTTGTTCACTGCACACAATATTTTGCTATGGTTTGGAGTAGACATAACATTGTCTGTGATGCATATTTCTAAATACAAACTATTAGATCTTCTCCAATAAATCTTAACAAATGGTCATTAGCAAATTCTTCTCCCACTTGTCAGGAAATTCCAGATCACCATACCTACCACACTAATTTACTTAAATTTATGAAGGGCAGTAAAAAAATTGTCAAATGACAACAACATGAAGATGGCTGTTTTCTGGGTTGTTGCACTGTGTAGTCTGGAAGAAGTTTACTGATGTTTCAGAGCACTATAGCCGAGAAGACAGCCATCTTCAGACTCACCGCCACGAAAACCTCAAATGCTACTGGTAACATTTTTATCTTCCTTTGATCATTAAAGCAGAAAGCCTTCATCTAGTTCACACATGGCATTATGCATAACTTGGATTTCAGCATACTAAATCATTTATATTATTTTATCTTACCTTGAGCACCCAACATCGTTGCCTTAACTGTTGACAAGATCTTGAGCTGTGTGCCAATGGTAGGAATACGCTCACACACTTGTAGGAGATTCTATAAACACAAATTTTATTGTAATTAACAATATTTCAATAAGATGAAAGGTTTCTGTCTACACTTTTTAAATATCATAAATGTATTTCATCTGATTCTATTCGCAACTTACCGTTCGCATTCTCTTGTCTGTGCATTCCCTAGCAAGCTCTTTGGCGAGGCGTGTTACCTCTTCGGAAGCTTCTGCAATGCTTTTGGCACAGGAAATGAGATCCCTCTTGCTGCTTCCCCCTTCCCCTCGCACCAACTGTGACAGCCGGCCCATCAGGACTGCCATTTTCTTAGCAGCTACAATAATGTCATTGTCCTTGCTTGACCACTGCCTCACCTCTTGGTGGAGTCCATGTGCAGCCATCTGAAAATTACATTCATTGTAAGTTTCTGGGATTTTATAAATGGTGACAAACAGTGTTTTAGAATCTTTAACCTTTATTGTGCAGGAACAGCAGATCAACATTCCTACATTATGGGGGTTTGTGGTCAGACTTCAGTCCCAGAATTAACAGATTGGTGGTTTACTTGAGTCTACACACATCACAACCCAAAAGAATAATTATGAAAGATAATTTCTTTACAGTTCCCTTGTGCTTCAACATGACTACTGTAAAACTTAGTACAAGACCTCTGGCCCATTTGGACAGTAAGTGGATGATAATCTCACCATAATTGGCTGGTTGGGCAATGGTGCATGCAAGAACATATCATCTTCATCATCTGTTTCTGGTGGTGGGGGTCGAGGTGGTGGTACCTCTCCCCCTGGGAGAGGGGGTCTTGGTGGAGCATATTCTGTAATGAGTCACATCCAATTTACAGGCACAGATTCACATATTTAATAAAGACATAACAGTAACATACCAACACATTCATGGAATGACAGTCAAATTCAAAATTCTATATAATTCTAAGGATTAGACAGCCATCTTCACAGATATATATATATATATATATATATACAAGATATTAAAGTAAAATTGTGCACTGAAATAATAGCAGTCTTAATAGAGCAATGATGTTGCTTTGGGTTCATTTCTTAATAGGCAATACTGGCAGGGGCATAGCATTCATTTTAACCATGTTAGCTGTGTTAGCCTGTCTACCACTCTGAAACACACACACAAAAAAAAATTGAAGTCTTCTGTCTTACTTTCATGGTTCAGTGTTAATCCAGTGGTAGAGGTGACTAATGAAACGTTTTGTCTGACTGGTTCTGCTGTGTTCCAGTACGTGGAGTTCCAGTGAACCACAGAAGGAAGACTTTATTTTTAATTTTTCAAGTATTAGCCTGACTAAGACGGCTAACATGGTCAACATGAATGTTCTGCCTGATACAAAAGGCACAATCAAACATATCTTCTAAGCAAGCAATAAAAAAATTGACAGGCCAAGCAGTGGTAGCATAAATACAAAAGTTCCAAAGCTGTTACACAAAAAGGATGGTTTTCTAGGCTAAAAGAGAACCAAAACAGTTGATTTAAACTGAATATAGAGTAGAAAGGGTCAAGCAATGTACCTGCACAGAAATGCATAATATAAAAAGAAATGGCATGCAGGATTCTGTGATCTAATACCTTGGTCCATTCAAGTACAATATTTAAACAAGCCACTGACAAATTTCAATTATGTCCCATATCGTAAAGTTACAGCATACCACCTTAACATGAATACCCATTAAGCCCAGTGGAAATTTACATAACAGATAACTACTTTTAAACCATCTTAATGTTGCAAAAATAAGAATATTTATAAGATGACTTCAAACAAGAATCGTAATAAAACACACTTATGGTAACAATCAAAGCAATTTTTCTCACCCCAGATTTTAAGTCAACATGCATCACTTCAATTTAATGAACCACTCTATCACTTGTGAGCCTTAAAAAGACAATGATGAGCGTTTATATGGTGGAAGTGACAAAAGTGGCCTTCTTAAAGGCAGTACCATTACACTTATGTGGAGGAGTAAGTGAAACCTCTAGATGAATCAAACTGGTAGTTCCCTCAGTAGAATGGGGATGAGGAAGGTTGTAGTGAAGGAGAATGAAAGTAATTCTTTTGTCTTTAGTTTATACTTTCTGTGAAAATTTAAGACAGTGATGATGAATTTTGGAACTACAGATGATGAATGAGGAAGAACTGGAACAGAAGAATTCAAGGACTGCATTAAAGTAGTCAGCCTACGACTCATTACATCCAAGTCATGATAGAATTCCCCTGATAAGTTGTAGTCTGACAATGAACCAAACACAGTATCATGTACAAATGACCTTCAAACACCAACAGCAAAACAATTACTTGGGGCATGGACATGCAAGACACCGAACTTCCATGTAAAACTTGAAGCTTTCATAGCAATTAAAAATTATAAAATCCTGTCAGGCAATCAGCTGTGTCAATTCTGAACAGAAATCCAAAAGTTTCAGATACACTGCCTGCATCATCAGGGAGTGATGATAATTCCATGATGACAGAGACTGAAATTTTCTCTTATACTTGTGTTCAGAACTGAAATGGCAGATCATGCAACAGAATTTTATTACCTGAACTTCCATATTTAATACAAGAAAATGAAATATAATTGAAACATTTTGGGTTTAAAAAGGAATAGATAATAAAACTTTGTTTCAAACATCATTCCTGATAAAATAAAATCAATCCAGTCACATCAACCATGCTGAATTTGCAAACACAGATACAATGCATCATTTGAGACTACAGATGTTACAACATAGCTCATGCTAAGGGCATACATATAACAAACGAACTCTGAATTTCAGTGATGAATGCAAAACCCAAACTAAAATACTATGTTATAAATATTATCTGAGATAAAAAATGCATGTCAATGACAACACTGGCAGATCTGGTAGAGCAGTTTTCTCTGGAATTCCTTAAAACCAATAACAAATAACTTAATTTTGTCTCAAATTTATAGACACTTGGAGTATTTTTGCCCAATATATATATTTTTTTTACAATTGCTGAAACCAGGGTAGAAGTCACTTTTACCCAAAAGACAAAGGCAGTACATTCATCCAAACATTTGATAGTCACCTGCAAGAATACATGGTGTCACAACACAGAAGACCATAATCTGGACATGAAAATACATACTTATTTACACAGGCAGAGAAACTTCAAAAATAACGCACAGAAAAGTGAGAATAAAAATGAGTTACAATTTGTGGCATATACATGTTACAGGTGCTGTATGAAATTTTGTAACTCAACAAAATCCAAATAAAATTAAGCAATATAAAGAAATCCTTAGTTTCATACTTAAAATTAATCAAAGTAGACAGAAACTTGATACAGATCACTGCTCTACCAATCCTATGGCCAAACAAATCTCAACTGATATATATGCAATAACATACACACACATTATCCAGATGCAAATTACTTTTTTACTTTTGCACAAAGGAAGTTGCAGGTACAGTCTAAAATGTGGATTTTATCCTCTTGACATGTGTGACTGAACTTCTCAGTAAACTGAAGCCCAAGGAAAAATCAAGTATGTTGTGCACCTGTTTAAAGGCAATGATCATGGATAACTTGGAAACCCACAAAAAATTCCAAAACTATTTCAAAGAGGACAGTGAGTCAAGGACTTCAATCTGAGACCTTTCAAATGTGGGGCAAACATTTCACCTTCCACAGTTCAATTTACTGAATATTATTTCATCAGTTGTCATGAAATAAATGTTTAACCAAATAGAAAATATGGTCCATTTTGTAATTTTCATCACACAAACAGTATATCTGTCCTACGCATAATCTTTACAAACTTCTTCGTTTAATGAATGATTGCTATCAGTTTTACCAATCATGAGTCAGCAAGAGTCAGGATATGCAGCTGACCAAATGAAAGAGCCAAGCTATGGCAACAAAGCCCTCTAAAATGCAAACACTAAACTGTTTTCACTCCCATCAAACTGACCTCTATGCACCAAGAATTGTACTAAGAGTCCTCATCAGTTAAACAATCTTGTCAAATGAAAAGAAAGAATCCTCTTCACATATACACAGAATTCCTGGATGTTAATTCACAAGACATACTACAAATGAAAGAGACTTCTCAATGGATTTAGACTGTTACAAGTATGCAGCAATGAAACCGTGAAATATACAGGTCTGCCATTTCGTACTACAAACTGGAAAATGGCAGGGGAAACACTTGTCCTCTAAATGACAGAAGACTGCTTTGTAAACAAAGGGCATTATATCCTCAGTTGTTTCAGAGGCAATTCATAAGACAATTTGAACAATTCCTTCTGTCCTCAGATGAAATGGTGGGGAGAATGGGGCCTACTCAGTTGGGTCCATTACACAAAGTTAATCCATTGAGGTTACATCTTTTTAAAGGCTCCAACTGTGTAAGAGCCAAGTCTCCAGTATTTGCTCTGTTCAGAACAATATGTGTTGGACAAAGTCCATAAACCCAGTAATTCTACTTGCAATGTACAATCATCAGAATCCTTTAGAATTGGCAATAATTGGTTGTAAATGTGTTAACAAACAGTGCAGTCACACATCTGAAGTCTCCACAAGAGTATCACACAGTGCAAGATGCAATGCAGACCTAACCTAATTCCTTATTGCAGTCTTATAAATTACCTCTATCTGCGTGATCATCATCTGATGTCAATTCCTGATATAAGAGGTCAGCATTTTCGCCTATGAAAAGAATCAACAGTACCATATAACACTAATTATGCCAAATATATCAATCCAAATATAAATTTTCACATGGCTACTGTTATGATAACCTTAAAATATGCACACTGTTGTAATATTTTAAAAATCTCACACTTCCTTTTCCACAATTGATATGAATCTTTTATGACCTACCTACATGTCTACACAGCACCAAAACCAAGAACAACAAGATCAAGAGAAAGATTCCTAGTGGTGAATGGCTTTATATTACAACAGAGCCATATTTAAAATAACAAACTTGCCCTAAAGGAATGTCATTTGTAATACTGATAGAACTATACTTTTCAATGTAAGAAATAAAATCTTTGCATACTGAACATACTTTCCAATTTAATAACTCTTAGTAATATTTTCTTCTACTCAGTATGTTTTAATGAAGACATTACAGATATCTGGAAGAGTACCTCGTGCCCACTTTGGCAGGGGACTAATAGCCCTTGTCCCACCATAAGGAGCCCTATGAGAGGGAGAATGAGGGGACAGTTGTCCCGCAGTTGTGGGCCCTGGCTGTTCCCTCAACGACGAGCCAACTGACAGCAACCACCAGCCACATCAAAAATGCAACAAACACAACAACAAGAGGAGGACCACAGTCAAGTAGACCAAAAACAAATGAATCAATGTCAGTGAAGAAGTACAGTAACATAATGAAGTAAATATAAAATACCATTTTTTTTCTCTGTCATAAGTAAACATGCAAGGATATGTTCTCCATTACGTATGTTCACCAAACATCAGTTTATAAAAAAGAATAGAAAAAAGGAGGAAAAACTAGACATAGTTATTGTCACTGAGAGTAACAGAATGGTGAAAATTGAGCTGAATAATAGTGGTGTATTTCTAAGTGATTTTATGCAAGACATTTCAGAAACTAACAACCTGGAAAATAAGATAAGCTGCTCTTTATGGAATCATTATTGGTAGCATAGTCATTTAGTTAGTTCACTGGAAAAGTATTTTGCACACTGTTTGCTGCCAGCACTGCACGAAAAATACTCATCTCATTCCAGTTCAATCAACAAGCAGAAGCTGTTCTCAACCACACAAACCACACATAAGAGTCACAAAGCAGCAATATCCAGTTATGTTTCCAAATCTACATCCCTACAGAATCACAAATACACAAGTAAAATGTGATACATATCACACCAAAAGACTTTATTAATAAAGTTGAGTCTTGCCATAACTAGCTAATTCTGTTAACAAATACCCAAAGTAAATAATACTGTCACCATAAATGTCGGCATTAACAATGCAATTTCGTACCAACTGTAATGCTGGCTTATGAATGCCGGATTAACAAAGGAAAGAGATCACAATCTGGTATCTGCTCCAAGATTTTAAGATAATGGGACCTCAGATTTTTTACTTCAGATAGGTAACCATTTAAAAAAAATCTCATTTCCACCTAGCAAATAAAACAATTTCCAAAAACAGAGTATTGTTATGCATCCAATAGTAAGATTTTTAACCAGATCTTGTAGGCACATAACTGTCTATAATGAAACTGTATAGAATAAAACTGAATACAGATGTTGGCCTACTTATAAAGTGTGTTAGTAAACAAATTCCTTCTTATTTTCTGTCAGATACAAAAGAACTGAACATTAAAGATGATGAAATCATAAAATAAAGTGAAAATAGCAGCTAATAATACTAGGCTACTTAAGACTGACAATCCATACAGGAAAACATTACGCCCAATTTGATACCTTTGTCAGTGAAGTAATTGTACTGCTGTTGTGATGGCTGATAGCCCTGCACCAGATGGCTCTTGTCTGGAAATAATACATATTATATTTACAATATTTACATTCTTATAGATGGTTAAAAGCATTAGACCCTCACACTTCTACAGCAACCAGATTAAAAAATAGGCATGCCTGAAGAGAATCTTAATGTCCATGTTGGTCTTCCAGGCTGTAATGGTGTGTAGACTTGCAGGTAGATACCATGATTTTTGAGGAGCCTTACTTACAAATCCACATGGCACTACAACCTAGATGACCAACACGGACATCTTCACCACTGTGACAAACTCAAATTTCATGTGTTTATAAGACATTACACTGCAGTGACCCACAAACGTTCTTAACCTATATCAGCATGTGTAACAGATGAGACAATATTATCAATAGCAGTTCTCATGTTATAAATAAGAAATTAAGAAGTGCCCAACATATCTATATCTTGAAGTCAGAAAAATGGAAAGTGAGAAACAAAGATATTTACATACACATATCAAATCTTATCTTGTTTCAGGCATTCTTTTTAAATTGGCCAAGATTTGTCTGAGTAAAACATCACAAATAACCTTTGCCCATAAAATATAATACAAGATATTTAGTAAAATGTACATGAAGTCAAGTTTTCTATATATACAGAATTAAATAAATAAAAGAGGCAAATGTTATACTGTATCAACACCACAAATATTTTGTATGTTCATTAAATGCAATAACTTAAAAGTAAACATTCATAAGAAAATACTGTGGTACAGAATACGTTACCATGCACAGAATCCTATGAAGATGTATTTACAGAGTATGGAAGATATGGAAAGATAAAGTAAGCAATTTATTTACAAATGTGAATAACAAGCTTCAGTATTGTTTAAAAGCAGTAAAGTATTTGAAGATAAAGTAATAATAATTTATTTTAACTTTTAATATATTGTAATAAAACCAGTAGTGTGAACAAGTAAGGATTTAAACTTGTAATTTCTAGTCTGTATTAATTGACAGATTACTTATACGGTGGCAAATAAAGACATTGGCCATGCTAAGTGCAAGTGAAATGAGTTACCATATGTTAAAGGCAATTGATAAATAATATTTTACTATAGAAATAAGGATTAACATGGTGTGCATTTGCCAACAGTCACTCTACTGCAAGCATTAAGACACAAAGTATTTTGTCCCCAAGCATTTGATTACAACATTTTTACATTTAAAATTAAAACGTATATGGCAATGATTAGCACCCGTTATGATAAGCCTAAACTACATCAGTATCCTGACAGACTACATAACTTCCTTTTGACAAGGTGATAATCACTCAGCTCATTAAGAAGTTCCCAGCTTTTTACAGAACCTGAAGGTTCATTACCATATTCACAACAGCCCACAACCAGTGTGAATCCTGAGCTAGTTTAATACAACACACAGTAACCCACCCTATTTCCTTAAAATACACTTTTAATACTACCCTCACGTCTATGCCTAGGTCTTCTGAATGGCTTCTTTCCTTCAGGACCTCTGACAAAAATTTTGCATGCATGTGCATTTTCATCTGTCAGATATACAATGAAGAAAAATCAACATATAACAAGCTGTACGTTTCCATCCATAACAATGGCAGGGTTAGGTTTGAGCAACTGCAACGGATACAGAACCTCTTGCTTCATAGAGGGTGAAAATGTCGTGACAGCAATTTAAAAGAAAAGGAATGGGTCATGACTGATTATACTTTGAAATAACCTGACTAAATTATGTAGCAGTGAGTTTTGCAAATTAGATTAATTAAAAATTCCCTGGAAGACAACTCCTTCACAAATTACTGCATCAGTTTGAATTGTACAAACGCAATTATAAAGTGTGTCATTTTTTGACGCAAAGACACATGATTTCATGTTTAAGCAACAAATACATGCACACACATACGAGCATGCACACACATGCATGCACTTACACCCGCATTGAAAAAAGGACAAAAAATTTAGAAAGTTTGCATATGTAGCAGTTCTTACCAAAATAAATCACAGAGCTATTACTAGTACTTAATGTTCAATGCTCTGGCTGTGAAGAGAATAATGGGATGTTTTTACATACATACATAACACGTATCCTGAAAATAAAACATTCGCTGCATACCTCCCACTTCAACACATGGTAATTAATTTATAACAAAATTTAATTCATTCCAGTATCTGCTATTTCTTATTTACTTGTGGTTTTTACATGTCACCCAACAGGACTGTATGAATTGCACTGTACAACTCTTCAAAGGGGTGAAGTCTTGAAGAATAAATAAAACATGCAGGGTTCACACTCTGAAGAAAAGAGTCCCAGGCCTAAAGAAGGAGGATTGTGGTTAATTTATTTAACATCACTATCAGCAGCTTAGACTACATAGCATCAAATGACAGAATAAATAATTAACCAGAAATGGTATGGAAGTAAAATAGCCATGGCTTAATTTAAGGCACTACACTGGCATGCAACTGGAGGGACTGAGAATTCCTTGATAAACCTCAGTCAGGACAGCAATGTCTCTGGACCAAGACTTTAATCTGACAGATTCAGACAGATGGAGAGGCTCAGTAGTCAGATGACTTATTTAAAGTAGAAATTTCTTAAGAAGAAGGTGAGGTATGTAAATGGATGCTGCAATTCTCATTAGATAACTGTTTCACAGAATAGTAAAAATGATGTGTTTCAAAGATCTGTTTATAGCTTGAAGTAAAACCTTGACCTATAATTTGGAAGCAGAGGATGCTACAACTGCAAGCATGGTTAAACTGTTAAGCTTGCCGATACCTCTAGAAACAGACACAGGGTTGCACATTACGTAGCAATCAGTAATCAGTGGTGCCTCACCCAGGCCAAAAATGGAATTAAAATCCACATTAAATATGTCGCCCAACTCAGCATCTATATAGAACAAAAACAGAGCACCATTACCACAAAGAAACAACAAAAGAAACTACATTAATGAGAAAAAGATACCAACAATTAAAACACTAGACTGTGCTGTGCTATTTTAAATCTTCTTTCGGCAATTACTACACGAGAAGGCAGGGGGGACAGACATTTCATGTGAGTAATGTAGCATGTGACAATAAAAATGCTCGAAACTCTTACATCAAATAAGCTACTGAACATTATATTATTCCTCATGTGTATGATATGAGGTTCTTCCAACACTGAAAATGATGTATCTCCAATACATTAGTATCTACCAGTAAGTCAACATGGGGCATCATAACCCAGAAAATCATAATCAAAATCTTCCATTCTTTACATGATGTTGACAGTTATTAAAAAGCCAAGAAAAATTTATGTTCACAAAATCATAATTTAAAACGACATTACTCAACACTTATCTTGCCATGTATTTATGTATGATCGTACAGAAGTGATCACACTTTGCCTTCATTCTCTACTGCATACTTTTTCCTATGTTTGAACACTTATACAATCCCAGTATATTTGAAGTGGAATACAATTTTATAATTGGATTATATTATTAAAAGCCATGGTTCACACGTTCAAAATATGAGCATGTATAAGTACAAAATTTGAGTGATATATAATACAACACAGTTCAATGTTGTCTACTGTTAATACAAAGTAAAAATGAACTTATAAAACAACAGTTATATATACACAGAAAGAAAAGCTAAGCTAAACAAGAGATAAACATCTAAAATAGCATAAGGCTGGTATACAACAATACCCAATGCCCAACACCAACACGAGTACATTAATCTTGTGAGTTGTTTGGCAGAACTATAACTATAAAATGCATGCATGCTTCTACTGCAACTACTAACTTTATCCATTACTGATTTGTTGGATACCGAGATTAAGGTGGGAATAGGAAAAATGGGCATGAGAATAAACCGAGAAGTTATGGAAGGATTCGGTTGTCGGACAATCCACATAACGTGAAAGAGTCTTAGGAATAAGACAAAGATGATAGCAAATGTCCTCATTTACAACACTGATGTTAAGCTACATTAAACACTGAATAAAATGTGTTCATTGAACAAATTATGCACATATTAAATGCAGTTTAAAGAACACAACATATGTTTACAATGAACAAAACTCAGTAATCCTAAATAGTAATGAATAAACAATATTTAACTCTACTGTTGACAGACCTACTATACAGCTTCCAAAAAAACAGGACACACATCCAGTTTCAGTAGTTAATAACTGTGTGTGTATGTGTATTGTGAGACATACAAGTAAAATCACGAAGTGCAAGAAACTGAAAAAAAAATCTAATAAACATAATTAGGAAGTCGGCAACACATTGCAAAAATACATAAATGCACATGCTACATGGTAAGAATTAAAAACTATGACCATTATGGATGTAGACATCTTAATATGTGATGCAAGAAAAAAGTACTAAATGTGATAACAGAATTCTGCATACTGTTGTGGTAGAGAACAACAAGTTTTATGTTGCCCATACTGTTCTACAAGTTTCACAGAAGTCAGAAACAGTGTGCTGTGAGGTGAACAACAAAACATAAAACAATAGTTTTGATTGAAGTGTTCACTTTACCTACACTGTTGAAAAGGAAGGAAGGTCACACAGGATTTAAAATGACACGTGACAGATACGACAGTACCCGAAACATTCACAGAAATGCTGTATTTGTAACCAGAATGCAGGAAATAAATTCAAAAGCATCATGTTTCAATGGCATAGCAACACATCAGAGTAGCATTAAACAATTCTTCTTTAACTTCAATAATTTTATGCAACAAGTGGCATAAAAAAATTACATGGTAAATGATGCGTAATAGTCTGTACTTTACACTTTTATATTTTATAAGCATAAGACTCTTGACACTGAAAGGAACTTGGCATTAGAATCATATCTACTTGGCCAATAAATAATACCTTTCAAAATATGTACAACTGTCAAAAACCACATTAGAGCTCACACAATTCTAACCAAATAAATAAATCAAATTGTAGTCTACTGCAAGAAAAGGAATATTATATGAAGACATTATCTAGGAAGACATAACAACATTCAGTTACGTGACGAAGAACAAATGAATGGCGGCAGTAAAACTTACCATTGATGTGAAGATTAGACACATCTGGTGGAGAAGGAAGATCAGGAGTGATGGTGACCGCATGACGAACCTCGCCTACAGCAGTCAGGAGCTAAGCCAACAGAATACAAAGAATGAATTTAGAAATTTAAAATATGCGAGTTCTGCTAAACGTTCAGAAAACTAAAGCAAGAAATAAAAACATTCATGTGCATAAATTATGTTATAATCTGAAATATCAATAATAAAAAACACTGCATGCTTTCAAAATGGGATAATCAAGGCATCTACTGTGGCAGTAACACTGAAGACTTATTTATAAGGTACGCAGTTCAAATTTCAGCTCCGTTAATGGCTAAAACGATGTTTCTGTGGTTTACTTGTCCCTCCAGGCAAATATTTTGACAGTACTTTTAAATATGCCTCCAATTACTTTCATGTACAGCATTTAAACACTGGATAACCTCTGCAGCTCAAACAGCATCATTCAAAAATCTAAGACTCAACACAAATTCATCAAACAAACATTTTTATTCCACTTAGCACATTACATTTACATATGTAACTGCCTCAATCTTGGTTCATACACTAAGCTATTTGCCCTCTGTACACCAGTGGGTTATTTAATAATGGGATGATGATGATGACTTCATTAGTGTCACAACCCAGATGACCACAGTCAACATCTTTACCACCATATAAACCTCAATTCTCAGAAGATTCCTTGTATTTTCTTGCAGACAGTTCTCTTGAGATTGTATAATGTTTTGTACCGTACTTCTTGTCTTGTAAGCATTTGCAGTGTTTTGTGAAAGATAAAGTATTCGAACTGTGGAATAAATATGGATTTGGCATCAGAACAACTTGTAATGTGACGCAAGAAAGCACTTCCATACAAAAATCATTGCTAAAATATGGACATGAGATTGTATTTTAGCTGTGGATCTATTAGATTTCAATTATTGTAAACTGTTGTGTGGAGACGGTGAATCAAAATTGAAATCTTATGTCCATAGGAGTTTATGTCATAAATCCACACTTGCACGTTCACTGTCTTGCATACAAAACAAGCATAAAATCATAAATTAAGCAGAAACAGAACAAATTAAAAAACATGTCACTTGTATTCATTAAATTATGATTCCATCTTAATTTTCATAATCCTACCAACTCCAAACCGTTTAGGATGTATATTCATGTTTGAACTTCAAATGAAACTTGACATGTGATACACATCACAGTTTTCCTAAAAGAATCAAACACTAACTGGATAACACACTAGAAGTGGAACTTACAGCTCTATTTGATTCACGCCATCTGGACACTGCAACAGAATCTTGTGTGTTGACAGCAACTGCTTTAGCATCCTGCACCATGGGTGTTACACCTGAAATAACGGCGAGTATTATAGCAAAGCAAAACAACGTAAGTTTTTGTTCACCGACTTAATTTCACCAAATTAAATCTTAATATACGGATCTAAGGCAGGGGTATACCAAGGAGTTTAAGAAAATTTACTAACATTTAACATTAAGAAAAGAAAAGAAATAATACAAACAGAAGCATGATAAATGATTAACAGGTTACATTTCATAGACTGACTCCATGCATTAAAAAGCTACTTTCCAACAATACTACAGTAACATTGAATAAAGTTATTAAATGTCCCCAGCACCACTTACTTGCCTGCACCTGATCAGAAGCACTGTTTATACGGGATATGAACTGCGGATCTTCTGAATTGTCAGACTCTTGCTTTGCAACCATAAGAACTCGGTTTGCCAACCTACATAAACACACAATTTCCTAATATTTCAAGTGCAAATCTAATCAATAACCATTCTCACATTTGAAGATTGCTGTAAAAACCTCAAATTCTACATTCTCACATTTCTCTAATGCCAAATCATCTTTAAAGTTGGTATGCCACAAAGTAAATTACAAATAGCCTTATTTATTTATCTATGGTTTACTTAATACTGCTGTCAGTATTTCAGACTATATAGTGTCCAGTGATCAGATAATTAGTAAATACTGAATTGGAATGGATGTGGAAGGAAGCTGTCATCTTGTAACAGAAGACACTATTCTAATACTTGTCTGAAGGGTTTGAGAAAAACCACAGAGTATTTTTTGCTTGAATCATCATCATTACCAGACATTTCTTCCTGAAGACAAACACAAAACATTTCCAAGTGGTTTTAATTCATATCAAAATCAAAGTGAACTCAATGAATCTGCATGTGTGGGGAACCATACCTTGCTATACTAGCAGTATTGTCAACCATCTTCTGCGGTTGAATCTTGCGGATTGCTTCTTCACATAAAATCGAGTGCTTCTGAATCTGTTCCTCTGTAATATAAACAGAGACACAAAGTTCATAGCCATTCATCCAATCGTTATGATACATTTTCTGGTAAATAATTTAGTACAAATAAAGTACACTGCGCTGTCTTCTTTGAATTACCAGCATCACAAAAGTAGGCAATGGAGCCAGCACTCACCGGACATCTTAATAAAATCTGCAGAGTCTGTTGCCTCATCACAGAGTGCTCTGACATGCTGAACTGAGTCTGAATACTGGGCGACGAGGTTTTGAAAGTGTTCATCAGCAGCCTTGCTTTCCGGGTAATTCATCCTAATCCGGCCAGCACTCACCAGCTGTGGTGTAAGACTCTCTACCTGCATTAACAAAACAAATTTTATTTTACACAAAGAATAAACTATATTATATTTGAAGTTCCTTAATATGAACATGCTCTTCATATCATATTCAGTTTTCATGATACCGCTCCAAGAATCATAATTTAATTCACCCATTTAAAAGCCTTAATACTTATTCACTAAAAACATAAAACATGAATTTACTGTGGGTAATAAAACTGCAGCACAAACCTGAGAAGCAGAGCTAAGCAAAGCTTCGGCCAACTTCTTATTGCCAGAACTTCCACCAGCTGCTACCATGCGTGCCGTCTTTGCTGCTCGCGAACTGAACTGCTGCAGCTGTTGTGCTCTGTCATTGAAGTTCTGCTCTCTGCCTGGAGTTCCTAAAATGTAACAAATTGATAAATTTGCAGGTTTAATATCACAATACTTTCCACGCTATGAACAATATGTCCTGTTAAAAAATGCCAGCTAATGTTTGAATACCCTTGGTGTTTTTAATACTAAACATAAATTTTCCTGTTGTCTCTTAGAATTTAAATATATGTATTTTTAATTTTATTCCATGAAAATTGAGAACTGCCATGGAAACATAAAACGACTGAAACTTTCTGAATTAAAATCAACATGGAAGGGTGGAATTTCAGGTTCTCATGGAGATGAGTATGAAAATGAAGTGTTAAAATATGTATTAATATATAAACAAGGATAAGATTGAACTAACCTTGAGGAACATGGACAGCGTCAGTGAAATGCTTCAGTGGGGAGCTGATGTCAATGAAGTCTTCTACAACACGGCTAACAACTGCATTCTGGATGCGGTCTTTCAGCTCATACAGTTTCTGAGATAAAGACCTGGCAACATGATTAATAGTACTACAGCGCCATTATAGCAACTTGGCAACTGCATTACAAACACAAATGACAGACTGAAAGAAGAATCAGCAAAATATAAAATTAAAAAAGTAGGACGATAATATTATCAGTGACATGCAAGCTTACCTGCATGCAAGTGCACATAAATACATTCATTTATTCACACACATAATTATGTATATCAGTGTTGGAACATCAATTGTATTTGTCCACCTGACTGTTCATGTTCCCAAAACTGAACATTTTAATAAACGGAAACAATGAATCAAATCAAATAAAACAAACAATGCTAGTGGTAACAGTACATACTGAAATAATTTCCAGAATATAACTTTGAGGAATGTTCCCAGGCATCACAAATGTGTGTGCATGAACTTAAAAGAAAAAAGGTCTGGCATTTTATGTATGTTTTTTTATTAATTTCCCAAAAAAATGTTAGTATCCTTCAGTTTCAAAGCAAAGTGCAAGCGTATGTGCACTCATCATATATACACACATGCATGCATGTGCACATGTGTGCACTAATGCAACTGTTGCATTTTAGCCAGAGATACTCTTCTTCACATACAAACAAAGGCCTGTTCCTTGTACAGTCTACTCAGAAAATACGTGAACTGTGGTACACCAAACTCACCAACTCTGGCACATCTAGAGTTACAAGCATGCAGCGACTGATAAAGTTTGCAGCACGTAGAAAGTTAATTACTATTTGATATACCTTGCAACATCTTGAGCTTGAGGTGTGTCCCCATGACCTCTTCGACACAAGTCACTCAGCTGTCGTGACAGAATATCCACTTCATCACACAAGCCTAAAATTTCTGCTTTATGTATTCCTGGAAGACCATCAGCTACCTGTGGCCAAGAAAACAAATCTGATTGTTCACACAAAGCATAATTTTATACTACAATCATAAATTACATACAAAAACATTACACGTGTGAAGAAATACACTGTAAGTAGACCAATTATTTACCCAACATATTAACAATGCAATGTAGCAACAGTTGTGAATGTTGTAGCATAACTGGCTAACCTTACTTTAGTTGCTGTGATGGCCAGTGAATAAAGTTTAAGATTCCGGAAGTTACACATCTTGCCAGTATAAATAATACTATCAGGTCTTTCTTTTTCTGACAGGGTAAGACTACGTCTCTATGAAACTGCGGCCACTAATGACCCATTGTCCATCCCCCAGATGACACATGAGTGAATATGAAGCAGCAGTAGAATGATGTTTGAAGAGAGAAACTAACCTTCTTTTGATCCTTCCACATGAATGCAATAAGAAATACAACAGAATATTAAAACAAACAAACCTTTTTTTTTCTAAACATGAAATTTATTAACACCTGACTATTTTACTGACAGTGCAGAATGTTCAGAATCTCGTGGGGCACTCACCTTCTTGCCTTCTGTAACAATGAGTGCAATAGCCTGCTGTCCAAGCCCACGATCATCCCTGTCTGGATGGGCCAGCCACCTACGTGCCTGTTCCAACCTTCCTGATACAGTGTGAGCAGGCTGCTGTACTCCAGACTTCTCCACTCCGACAACAGCCCGTTGTACAAGCCCACACAATTCTCCCAACTTCTCTTGAATGCCATGAGCTAAACATTCAGCCTAAATGAAAAACACAACAGATGTGGGAAATGTTAAAATATCTTCACAAATACATATATTTTGTAGCATTTGAGGCTCTCACAGTGGTGAGTATGAAGATGGCTGTCTTTTGAGCCGCAGTACTGCGTAGTCTGGTGAACGTCTACCTGACTACAAGACACTATAAATCACAAGAAAGCCATCTTGATACACATATTTCATAAATGTATTACAAAGAAAGAAGAAGGCTTAATTTTGATTGCAACACCTATAGAAACAGAAATGGTTTATACTTATACTAGCTGCCACTGAAATGAATATTTCAAGGTCACAGAAAAATCACACAATGTTGTAACATGAACAGCAGAGCCCAGGCAAGTAAAGATAGCTGACAAGTCACAGTATAGCAAAGCTATCATTGAGCCATGCAATGGGGCGGGAGGGGGGGTTGCTGAAGGCCTTCCATGGATAACACAGATTATTTAATGTTATAGAAACAGCAAAGAATGAAGCAATGGTAGGATTTTTAAGAATTTAGATTCCAGAAAGCTGTGAGAGAAAGTGGCTATGGCCCAAATGTACTATGCAAGAATTTACCAACACTGATGAAAACAACAAAAATCTCAGGACAGACAATGATTTAAACCAGGTACCTCTTTCATATGAAGCAGTAATGTTCAGTCACTAATGCATACTTCAGTCACCATACATTTAACATTGATGATACTGATAATGCCGAGTGAACTTGTACTGTTGTTTTGGAGGAACACATTAATTCCACCTTCAGCTGTCTTCTGGGTTATAAAGCCATGAGGACTTGTAGGTAGATACCAGTGTTTCAAAGAGAGTACGTTTCTATGAAATGACATTGTATCAGCTGACAAGATTGTACAGTGGATATACCACACAAGCTAAGGAGCAAATTACATCCCCCTGAATATGAATCAGGAGTGTCATGCGATACATGTGATTTTGGGGGTCTCGATTTTAAATTCTAGAAGATCTCACCTGCGGTGTAGCGCCCTTTCCATCCTGTCGCAGCTCACAAAGAGCATCGGTCATAGTAGTAATATCCCCACACAACTTCTTAATAGCTTCTGCATCACCAGGTAGTGCACGTTCACAAACTCGCTGTGAATGTTCCAGTATCTGTCTTACGCTCTTCTCACCCACACCACCTCTCAGAGCCAATGGATCCTGCAGAAGTATAAGAGCAAAAATATTAGTAAATAATAACAGCTTGAGTACCACAAATCATAAGCAAATTCATACAGACTATTTTACTATGTATATTCCTGAAGACAAATTTTCACTAGGAAAGGGAAAAAATGTGAGACTTGAGATTCTCATGGCAATGATAATGTTGTACTTCTTGATTATGATGTCATGTACTCTCATAAGTAGATACCACTGTTTCTGAGATGCAGACAGTATGTTTCTCCAAAATGCTGCCATCTACTTACAAGTCTTACTAGACTCTCTCTCTCTCTCTCTCTCTCTCACACACACACACACAAAAGAGAGAGAGAACTTTTAAACTTAAAAATGAAGCATTAAATGTATCCTACAACTCCACATTTTCAACAATTTTCATACCATTCATTGTACACTTAAATTATTTCTTTTTTATTGGTTCCTGCCAACTATTTACTTTGTTCTGAGACAAAATATTACCTCCAGCCAGTCATGAGCAGCCCTAACTTTTCCTTCAATTGCATTCTGTGCTTTCTTCATTACAGTCAGGTTGTCAGCATCCCACTCTTCTTCATCATATGTTGTCAGTTGTAAGACTCGAATGATTTCATTCAGTTCATCTGTCATGCGCTGCGCCAGATAATTACGGTTCTCTGCTGCTTCCTCCGCCCCCTTGCCACCTATGAAAGTAACATTATATTTATTTCTATTGGAATAACAACACAAGAGGTTAAACAAAGTTTCCAACAGAAATGCAAATGTTATATCACAATCAGTTATCTCCCAGAATTACAAAAGATTCAAGAAGGAGAAAGTAATACATTAAATGTGTAATAAGACATTTCAAACCTTGAGCAATTATATGAATGAAAATCTTCATGCTGCAGATGAGGATGGGTGCCAAAGTTTTCACTTGCTCCAGGCAGCGTACTAAGATCTCCCGGTGCACTTGGTGAGTGAGCTCTTTTTCACGCCCACCAACCTCACGTGAAACCTGCAATGCACAGTTTCATCACTGACAGGAATATGAACCCTTACATCTGTTCTTTATAGTACAAAATGAATTCAAATAACTTTTTGCTATTATTTTGAAAAAGAAACATTTGCGACCACATGTTCACAGGAACATTTTTTCTTTTTGATCCCGGAACACGCACACAAAGATTGTAAACATATTTTTGACACCCTGTATTATATAAGTGTAAACATATTTTTGACTCACCCTGTATTATATAAGGAAAATATTAACTTTTTTAAAATAACGAGTTGTGAATACTGACTCACTTTACTGAGACAAGGGCTAAGATCCTTAAGAAATTGAACAAGATCCTCCATTGTCTCTATCACTTCTGCAACTGCCAGGTAGTCCAGCACCCTCTTGCATTCTCGAATAATCTTCCGTACTTCTGACTCATCAAAACAGAGCAGCAATGCAGATGTTCCTTGAAGAATTCCTCGGGAGCCTTCAATAAGCTTCTTTCTATACATTTAAATTTTGAACACTTTAACATGTAAATGAAATATGTGTATTATAATACATATTAACACGTGTATTCAAATATATCTCCAAATTTCATATTTAAATTGAAATGAGTGTGTGCTTGTTTTATTAACCAGTTGGTCATACATACTGTGTTGTCTGTTCCTGAAAGAACTTTACCACGAATATAAATACCTGGTGCTAGACATCAATTTCAGCAGAATAAGCTTTATTCTTCAAATAACCTGTTGTAAACAAAATTAATACCTGGCTGGACCACTGTACGGATCAACTTTCAGCATAGCAGATGCTTCCTCTAACAATCGTGATGCACCCTCCACTCTGACTAGTGCTGCTGGCATGTCCTGCTTCAATATCGCATCTTCACTTGAGTTGATAGTTTCACGTCCAACCTATTATAGAAAAATTGTATATTCAAATTCCTTCACAGTAACTGACAAATAGAAAATTATTTATATATAAATGATGTATCCAAAAATAATATTAAAATAACCAGGTATAAAAATGGCATAAAATATATACCTATACAGATGACAGTTCTTGGGCCACTAAGCTTTTTAACTGTGTGTCAACGTTTCAAGTAAATACGGTACTTCCATCTTCAGGCACTTCATCCATGAATATGGAGGTACAATGTTGACACAGCCAAAACAGTACTTGGTGCAACAACCCAGAAGAACATCATCTATATTCATATCACCATGAAAACCAAAAATTCTACAAATTTATGAATGCTACATATCAAGAAGAGTAGATTACTTTGAAATATTACAACCTACATTCTTCAAATTAACTCTTCATAAATGCATTCATTCTTAGACCCATCCACAAAGCACTTCATCACGGTCTATTAGTCTTACATTACATTATCATTACACT